TAGATAGGGTACATTCAGGAGGGTTTTCCTCCATTTCTTTTTTCTAACTGCCTGGATTCACCATTGGATTTTGTAAATGGAAAACTGAAATGAACAATGCTATATTGGATGTTTTCTCTTTCTGACTGTGTGTGTGTGTGTATGTGTCTGTCTGTGTGCGTCTGTGTGTCTGTGTGTCCTGTCTGCATGACCACATGTGGGGAGGTATGATCGAGTGAGACAGTGTGTCTGTGTGACTTTGTGTGGGGAGGCACCCCTGCCTGGTATACACATGTGAGTAAATGCCTGTATGTGGAGACATATATGGCATGCACACACACGTACATGTATGCACCTAATTGAGAGGAGACAAACTAGAGTATGTGCCTGCAGCAGGAAGTAGAGTGGTCGGAGAGATGGAACTTGAAAACTGTACGTATGTACATAGCAAGAGGGAGACTCCCATCTCATCAGATCTTCCTCCTCTGGCCCAGGCTCTGAACATGGCAGACAGAATACTTGGGAACCCCATCTCTTCCCAAAGCCTGGAGCCCCCAGGTACCACTTTCAAATCCTGATCAGTCTCCTCTCCAAAACCCAAACAAGGTGTTCCTGAAACTGGACCACCATGGAGAATGGGGACTGGGAATTAGGGATCCAACTTGGGGAGAACTGATGGGGTTGGGAAATGTCCCCCGCAAAGTAATGGCTTCTGGAGCAACTGCTCAGCCTGGGATGGGAGATCTGCTGAAGGATCCACTTTATACAGCTGGAACTTTGGTAAGTTTTGGCTAAATTCAGAGGGAGGGATGTCACAGGAGGGAACCCAAGCCTGGGAGTCTACACAGCCAGCCTGTTGCCTGGGCACCCAATTACTTTATTATTTATTTACTTATTCTCTCAGGTGCACAGAATTGAGTTGACCACACTCCTCAGTTCTTGGCACAATTATATTATCATTGATTCATGTGAAGCCCTTTTATTCTTTATTTTGTTTTGTTTTGTCCCCTTTATCACCCATCTCTGATCCCATCACCCCTTCCACATAGGCACCCACTCTCGTGTATTTAACATACGTCCTTCCAATCCACCATTCATGTGTTTATTTACATATATGTGTATCTGTGAAAAAATATATGGTATTGTTATGTGTTTTAAGTTACATAAACAGTATTGTACTATAAATCTTGTTCTGTTTCTTTTTTCACTCAACATTATGTTTTTGAGCGATCCAGCCATGTTGCCGTATGTAGATCTAATTCATCCTAGTGGTCATCTTATACACATATATCACATTTTCCTTACCCATTCCCCTGGAGATGGGTCTCTAGGTTGCTTCCAGTTCTCTGCTACAACAAGGCGGCAATGGGCAGTTTCCTATACTTCTCTTTAAAGATACCTCATTTAGAGAATGGGGACTGGGAATTAGGGATCCAACTTGGGAAGAACTGAAGCTCAGAGAGTTACAAAGCGAAGAATAGACCCGAGATTTGAATCCCTACCAAAGGCAGAACCCCACCACCATGCCTCACTGGAGATCGTCCATCTGGCCAAAAAAATTGTTTCAAATACAATTAAGAACAGTATACACTGAGGAAAGGGAGAGAAAGGGGGGGGGGGGG